TTACATCTACGTTTACATTTGCAACATTCACAATCAGTCCTGATAGTAATTATTCACTATTTAACTACAAGAGTCTTATCCTTTCACCAGCCCCATCTAGACAAGTTGGAAACCACTCAGTGGAGACTCTACCTTGACCAGAACCCTCTGAAACTAAGCTCTCTCTTGAAAATTTATAAGCCAGTAACTATGTACCTTTGTTGGTCCCCCCACCCCATTTTGAGTTGCTGTTGTTAGACGCCATTGGTACCAACTCATACCGACCATATGCACAGCAGAATGAAACACTGCCGGATCCTGGGCCAACCTCACTGTTGTTGCCATGCTTGAGTCCATTGAAGCTGCTACTTTGTCAATCCATCTTGCTGGGGGTCTTCCTCTTTTTCTCTGACCCTCTACCTTACCAAACGTGATATCCTTCTCCAGCGACTGGTCCCTCCTGACAATATGTCCAAAGTATGAGAGATGAAGTTTGGCCATCCTGGCCTCCAAGGAGCACTCTGGCTGCACTTCTTCCAGCACAGATTGGTTGGCTTTTTTGGCAGTCCATAACACTTTCAATATTCTTCTCCAACACCATAACTCAAAAGCATCAATTCTTCTAAGGTCTTCCTTATTCACTGCCCAGCTTTCACATGCATATGAGGTTATTGAAAATACTATGGCTTGGGTCAGGCACACCTTAGTGTTCAAGCTGAAATCTTTGCTCTTCAACACTTTAAAAAGGTCTTGTGCAGCAGATTTGCCTAACGCAATACGTCATTTGATTTCTTGACTGCTGCTTCCATGAGTGTTGATAGTTGATCCAAGAAGAATGAAGTACTTGACAACTTCAATTTTTTTCTCCATTGATAAGAATGTTATTTATTGGTCCAGTGGTGAGGATTTTTGTTTTCTTTGCATTGAGATGCAATCCATAGTGAAGGCTGTGCTCTTGGATTTTCATCAGTAAATATTTTAAGTCCTCTTCACTTTCAGCAAGCAAGGTTGTATCATCTGCATATCACAGGTTGTTAATGAGTCTTCCTCCAATCCTGATGCCATGTCTTTCATCATATAATTCAGATTCGCAGATTATTTGCTCAGTTTACAGGTTGAATATGTATGGTGAAAGAATACAACCCTGTCACACACCTTTCTTAATTTTAAACCATTCAGTGTTTCTATGTTCTGTTTGCACAGCTGCCTCTTGGTCCAGGCACAGATTCTTCATGAGTACAATTAAGTGTTCAGGAATATTCACACTTCGCAATGTTGCCCATAGTTTGTCGTGATCCACACAATCGAAAGCCTTTGCGTAGTCAATAAAGTACAGGTAAACATCTTTCAGTTATTCTCTGCTTTCAGCCAAGATCCATTGGACATCAGTAATGATATCCCTCGTTCCACGGCCTCTTCTGAATCTGGCTTGAAACTGTGGAAGTTCTTTGCCAATGTATGCTTGCAGCTGTTTCTGTATTACCTTTCGTAAAACTTGACTCTCATGAGATATCAAAGACACTGTCCAATGATTTCCACATTCCGTTGGGTCATCTTTTTTTGGAATGGCCGTGAATACAGATCTCTTCCAATCAGTTGGCCAGATAGTTTTCTTCCAAGTTTCTTGGCATATAAGAGTGAGTGCTTCCAGTGTCGCCTCACTTTCTTGAACGATTTCAATTTTTATTCCATCAGTTCCTGGTGCCTTGCTCTATGCCAATTCCTTCAATGCACTTTGGACTTCTTCCTTCAGTGTTATTGGCTCTTGATCATATGCTACCTCTAGAAACGGTTGAACATTAACCATTTCGTTTTGGTACTGACCGTGTATTCCTTCCATCTTCTTTTGATGGTCTCTGTATCATTCAGTAATATGCCCAGGGAATCCTTCAATAACAAAAGTTGAGGCTAGAATTTTTTCTTTAGTTCCCCCAGCTTGAGAAATGTTGAGCATGTTCTTCCTTTTTGGTTTTCTGACTCCAGATCTTTGCACATTCTGTTGTAATACGTGGCTTTATCTTCTCAAGCTGATCTTTGAAATTTTCTTTTCAGCTCTTGTGTCTCCTCATTTCTTCCATTTGCTTTAGTATCTCTATGCTGGAAAGCAAGTTTCTGTGTCTCTTCTGACATCCATTTTAACCTTTTCCTTCTTTCTTGTCTCTTAATGACTTTTTGCTTTCTTCATGTATGATGTTCTTGTTGTCATCCCACAACTCTCCTGGCCTTTGGTCTTTAGTGTTTAATGTATCTTCTGTTTCTTCTGATCTTAGAGTCATGGAGACTAGTATTCTAATGTTCCATTAATTTATTGGACTAATTGATCCCAAGTCTCCTCAATTCTTATTGCTCTTCTTTCTTCTGTACACAGAGAGACCAATAGCTGCACTTTAGATGGCTTGAGTTACTCTATCTTGCTTCTTCATGTGAACAGAAATTATCTGCTCTTTAGAGGCATTTTGGTGTTGTTGTATTTGTATTAAGTTAATGAATGTACCTTGGTGTATTCTTAGGCACTCACTGCCTCCTGGTGGGTGTGATCAGCAGATGAGCTTGTGCACCATCTACTTTGCTATTAATACAGTTCATTTCAGGGAGGCCTTAACTGGTGTTGTTTGTTGTTGTTTATCTGGTGTAGAGCAGCAGGTAGTGACTCTAGCTCAGTGGTGGGGCTGGGTAAAGCTATGAATGCACTGTATGACTGTATGCTATCTCCTTTGTCTCCTAGGTTTCTGCAAGTTGAATATGTTTTCTTGTCTCTGAATCCGTTCACAAATGCTCAAGATGACTGTGGCAGGTCCAGTTGGGTGACACAGCTTAGCAATCACCTCTTTTCTTGCTGTGTCTGCACAGCTCTCTTGCCCATAAGCACTTGATCCACTTCATTAATCTCTGTTTTTAAATGATAAGTCACTTTTTCTTTTTATTGGTAGCTAACCCCTACCAAAGGAGTATCCCAGGAATGAAGGAAAACAGTTACCACATTTCTTGTGAAGGCCAGTGATAATCACCACAGGGAAAAGGCTAATGGTGCCTGTGGGAGGCAACATACCTGGAGTGGTCAGCATGACCTGAGATAAACAGAACAACAAAGAAGTTCCTGAAATTCATCAGGCTCCTATCCTATGCCAAGATCCTTTTAAATCCTCCCTTCCCTTGTTCCTTGGGAAGCAGGTCTGGGAGATTCCCACTCCCTGTACTCCTGAGTATCTATACAAAATAAATGCTTTGGTCTTTGTTCTAAGCCTAGCAGCAGGTAATTTAAAAACTTTAGTAATTTACAATAGCAACATGTAAGCCTCCACTGACACATTCATGGGGGTTATACATGAGGTGCATTGGTCAGGAATGGAACCCAGGTATCCAGCATATTGCTGTTGCTATCATTAAATGCTGACTCACACTAACAACAAAACAACTGCCCGGTCCTGTGCCATCCTCACACTTTTTTGCTGTGTTTGAGACCATTGTTTCCGTCATTGTGTCAATTCATCTCCTTAAGGGTCTTCCTCTTTTCCACTGGCCTCCTACTGTATCAAACATGATGTCCATCTCTAGGGGATGGTCTGTCTATCATGATAACATAGTGAGACAAACTCTTACCATCCTCACTTCTAAGGAACATTCTGGCTATACTTCTTCCAAGACAGATTTGTTTGCTCTTTTGGCAGGCCATAATATACTCAATATTCTTTATCAACACCAGTTAGATCATGCATACTTTAGTTCTCAGAGTGGCATCTTTGTTTTTTGTCACTTGAACAAAAGTCTTTTGCAGCATATTTGCCCAATATCTAATTTTTTAAAAAAAACTTTTTTTGTGTGGGTTGGGTGAAGGTTTACTAGCAGATCATCAGTTTTACAACCAACAACTCATGTACATTTTGTTTCATCACATTAATTACAATCCCTTCAATGTAACATCATTCATCCCACGGTCTCCCTGTGTTTCCTGTTTCCATTCCTCCTTTTTTCCTAACTGTTCTGACTGTAACCCTGAGTTGTCATTTGATTTCTTCACTGCTGCTTCCATGGGTGTTCATTTTTGATGCAAGTAAAATGAAATCCTTGACAACTTCACATAAAAGGTGAGGATTCTACTACTGAATTAACAGTGCAGTAATAACCTCTCCACAAGGCTGACAGTTTGAGCCCATCAGCCATTCCTTGGAAGAAAGATAAGGTTTTCTGCTCCCATAAAGATTTCCAGCCACAGAAAACCCTATGCAGAGTCATTATGAATCAGAATCCATACGATTGCGCTTAGCCTTTCCATTTTACATATGAGGAAACTAGGCGTCAGAATGGTGGGTGACTTGTACTGAGTCATATAGCTGGTCATTGAAAGAGGGGGTTTGACCCTGATTAGCCTGGCTTCAGAGTTCCTATAGGATGTTTGGAGCACCATCCATCTGAACTATGTCTGCATATATATGTTTGCTTCAGGACCACCTTTTCAATCTCCACTATCTATAATGCTACCTCCAGTATTAATTGGCCCTGGAAACCTACAGGTACACATTCTTAGGGTTAGCACGAATTTTCAAGTAAGGCCATTTAACGACATCCGCTACCCAGCTAGGATCAGGAACGGTTGATGCCTGAAGCATAAAGTCCTCAAAGGAGTGCCAATGCCCAGGGTGGGAGTAGGATCTCTCCCCCGTGAATTGTGAACGGTCAGTGAAAAGAAATGCCAGGGTCAGCTACCTGAGTGAGCATAGAGACTCTGGGCCCAGCACCGGCGCCCACTCCGCCCATAGCAGTGCGTCAGTGCCAGGGATTCCACGACGCCCCGCCCTGTCCCGCCCCCAGCACAGAACCCGTCCTGCTTAATCTTCGGCGCGCCCTGCTCCAAAACGTCCGCAGCCGCCACCTCGCCCCAGCCGGGTTTCCGCCCCGCCCACCGCACGGCGGCCAGGCGCCGTGTTTACCCGCGGTGCATGGTGGGGCCGTCGCCTGGGACTACCCGGGTTCGCCGGACGCCGTAGGCCTCGCAAACTAAGCGCGGCGACCACACCGGGGGCATGCGCCGGACTTCCGATCCCACAGCGCCGCTGGCAAGTCCCGACTACTATGAGAGTCTGTGCCGCCTCCAGCACGGGCTACGGGACAGGTACAGCAAAAGAAGGGTTGAGGCGGGAATCGGCCTTTGCCAAGGATGTTCCGGGTGCCTTGTCTCCAGTTCCCATTCGCCCCACACGTGGTGCCCCTGTTTCTTGGTCAGGCTCTTGCATTAGAGGGGTGCTCAGAGAGAGGTGAGACTGTTCCCTTCCACCTCATAAGCAACAACCGCTGGAGTCTTTCTCCCGCTTGAGGATGTGGCTATGTCACTGAATTTGCTTAGAAGTGAGAGTGGGAGTTCTCCTGCCTGTCACTCTCAGTCAAACCTTGTAAATTTCTCTAGTTCCCTTTTACAGGCCTCCTCCCCAGTCTCTTCAAATTGTCATCTCACCTGACAGCTGCACTGCATCAATGATGACAGGCCTAGGAATGCAAGGTGGGAGAGAATGTACGTGTTTGCACAAACATATGCCCTGTTTAAATGCAGGAGGTGCTTCTGGTGAGCCGGGGAAGATGGTCAGCTTTCTAGGGAAGAAATGAAATTTTCAGCGGGAAACGTCCAGCCTCATAATACCTTTGATTAGGACAGGAAAGGTGGGAATCCCTGACAACAGCTAATCCTCAGAATTAAAGCATTTTACTCTAAATAGCCACTTAAAAGATACATTGTTGGAACTCCTGTTTAACTGCCAAATTCATTGGAGTTGAAAGCCTCATTAGTTGGCAAGGAAGGAAATCGATTTTTGGATCTTTTGATAAAGAAAATTGTGTTAGAAGTTACAGAACAATTATTCTCTGTGTGGTGACATTTCTGAAATGTTTCTGAAATGACATTTCTAAAATGACATTTCTTAATTACATGTAAGGTAATGGTATAAATAAGTGCTTTTAAAAAGGAATGCTATTTATCTTATAAACCTAACGGTTTATTTTTGGCAAATATTTATAAAGCATTTACAAGCCTCCTCAGTTTTTCTACTGTTTTACTCCTTAATCCTTTTTGACATGGTTTTTTTCTCTTTCTTTTTTTTTTTTTGCCATTTCAGTGGTTTGTTTAAAAAACTTTTTGTTGGGAATTGAGTGAAGGTTTACAGAGCAGATCATCAGTTTTACATTCAGCAAACCATAGACTTCATTTTATTTCAATTATTGCAGTCTCCTCCATGTACCATCAGTTAACAGTACTTCCATTCCTCCCAGTGCCTTCTGTAACCTTCATCTTTCCTCTGCCAACCTCTCTCTTGTTATATATTTATTGCCTTCCCTGACACCCAAGTTAATAATTGTCTAGCCTGTGTTGTTGTCGTTGTTGTTAAGTGCCTTGGAGTCAGTTTTGACTCATAGTGACCCTATACAGGGTTTCCGAGGCTATAAATCTTTACAGGAGCAGAAAGCCTCATCTTTCTCCTGTGGAACAGCTGGTAGTTTCAAACTACTGATCTTGTGGTTTGCAGCCCAATTTGTAACCACTACGCTACCAGAGCCAGTGAATAATTAAGTATCATCTTTTGCCCTCCTCATGACTTCCTCATCTTCAAATTAAAAAAAAAAAACACCATTCCTTTGTTACCTTCCCTGCCCAAGGTGTTGATCACCCCCATTCTGTAACAAATGGAACCTCAGCACTCTAGTTAGGTGACCACTTTAGTGTCTTGCTCTTGACTAAGACTGAGAATGTCAGGAGGACAGGAGCCATATCTAACTGGGTCTTCAGTTCAGAATAGAGAACCTGATGGAGGAGGTGTTTGATAAGTGTTTGTTGAATGAGTAGAAGAAATTCCAAAACCACCTTGTGTGTAGGAATTATGAATGTTGTGAAAGCCAATAACCAGACATAGGTACTATTTTCCAGCCAACCAGGAAAAGTACATCTATCCATAAATAATATTAATTTTCTGCACATAGTTGATAATTAAAAGATAAAACATTGGTGTGTACTTCATTACATGTAAAGTGCTTCTGACTCAATATCTCTTCTGTTAAAGGAGTTTAGTTACTCCAGGCCTTTTGTAATTTCTATATTTCAGCCCAGTCCTAATTTTAAAATGTTACTGATTTAAATGGTATTCTTTTTTAAGTAAGTTAACTGTGAGTTATTTTTACTTCTTGTACTAGGAACATTCAGCTGTTTTAAATCCTTATGATATAATAATCATGTAATGATTAGTACTCACTCTATGTTTAATCTTTATTGATTTAACTATTAAGCAAGGTGAGGCTGATGAAATTGTCTAAGAAATTTGAGTCAAATTTTTTGGCCTGTTGGTTTTGCATTTGAAGGTTTATTTCTAAGTCAGTATAAATCTGTTGCTGAGTATATTCATTTTTCATTTTCTGTAACTAATAGACTAACATGTGGTTAGCAAACATAGTTAACAAGCATAGAGGTGAATCAATTTGGATGCGGAGAAAGCTAAAGTAGAAATGTGGAAACCTGTGTTTTGCCCCATGACTTGTCACACAAGTTAGTTGTGTGACCACGTGTAGGTTGTTGAACCTTGGTTCTGCAATATAATGAGGTGTTGTTGTTAAGTGCCTTCAAGTTGGTTCCAATTCACAGCAACCCTGTATAGGGTTTCCAAGGAGCAGCTGGTGGGTTTGAACTGTGGACCTTTCAGTTAGCAGTCTAGTGCTTATCATACAATGCCATACCAGGACTCCATGAATGAAGGCGTTTGAATAATATGTAAAATAACAGCACACGGATTTTCTGTTGTTGTTGTTGTTAAGTGCCGTCGAGTTGGTTCCGACCCATAGCGACCCTGTATAGGGCTCCCAAGGAGCGTCTGGTGATCTTGAAACATCGACCTTATAGTTCAAACGACTTGGCAGTCTGGTGCATTAACCCACAGCACCACACCATTGTCTGTAAATCCAAACACCAAACAACATTTCTACCTTTATGGGTCTGGGTAAGAGACGATAGACGAAGATACTGATAGGGTGACGAGATTCAGCTGTGGACGCTGGCAGAGTTCGTTGTAATTGTAAAAAGTTGTCAATTCTAGCATGGGTTTAAAATAAACCATTTCAGAAGCAGAAAGGGAATCTCACTGCTATCAAAGAAGAAGAGCCAGGAGGGGAGAGAGCATGTCCTTTGGACCCAAGATCCCTGGACATTAAACCTCCTTAATCCTGGGACAGAAAGCTGTGACATTGGTGGCGTGGCAGAGGAGCAGCAGCAACAGAACCAAGAACCAGAGCACAAGACAGAGCAGTGCGCTTCCCCGCCCACAAAGCAAGTAAAGCTGAATGACTTTGGGCAGGAGGCTTGCTTATAGAGTGGGGTGTCTACAAGCACTTACGTGGGGGAGCTAGGTTTGCTGACCCATGGAGCTAGTGCCAAGCGCCTTCAGGCCGAGGCTTCTGGTGGATATGTCTTGTGGGCATTTATCAGCAACTGATTTGAACACCAGTGCCCTGAGCATTTTCTGATCCTGTGTTATAAACTGTTCATTTCCCTAATAAGCCCCATAACTATTAGTGTGGTGCCCGAGTCCTGTGTGGCCATTGCAGTGAATCATCGAACCCAGTGTAAGTAAAGTGCTGTGGGAAGTATGGTTGGTGTTTCATATTTTTACTTTTACTTTTTCTCTCCTAGAGTTACAGGACTCAATGTAAAAAAAAAAAAGGGAGAGAGAGAAAGCTGCAGGTAAAAAGCAGAAGGTGTAAAGAATATCATTGTATTTATCTTGAGTGTTTGAACGTACTTTTTTTTCTGTCACCAACCCTAGGGGGACTGTCTGTTTAAAAACTCGTCATGAAGTAGATTGCAACTCTTAGCGACCTATAGGACAGAGTAGTTCTAGGTTTCTAAGGCCATAGTTCTTTATGGGAGCAGACTGCCATGTCTATCTTCAGGGGAGCAGCTGGTTGGTTGAAACTGCTGACCTCTTTGGTTAACAACCAAGCATTTAACCATTGTCACCAGAGCTTCTCACACAGGCGCTATTATCTCCTAAAATTTCAGTCATTCAACGACTGAAATTTCTAGGGAATGTAATATTAAACATAGTTCCTTTTAGAGGTGGGTCATTGCATTGTTGGTCTTGTGACTAGCGCCTTTCCTTTGTAACTGAAATATCTCAAGCTCAAGTTGTCATAGCTGTAATCACACAGATGTAATTTTCTATTTTGATTTTTTTTCCTCTTTATACTGTGTTTTCCCGGCATTGTCTTGAAAGTCAATACTAAATTAAATCTAAAAGAGCCTAATGGAGTGACTTCTTAACAGTGTGTATAGTGCCACAAGCATGGTAGGAACATAAAAATGGAATCGATTCTTACAATTATATAAAACAATTCTTTTAAAAGACCCATTAACCAGTCAGTTTTTTCAGTGCTAATATTGATTCAGGTAGAGATATCATAATAGTCCAAAAAAAATTGATACGAGAGAAAACTGAGCCATGTGACCTTTGGACACTTTCTCACTCCCCTCCCCACTGTGTAAAATGTGAAAAGGTCCAGGTGAAGGGTACAAGTGACTGAAACCATGGCACATAGGAAAGTGTCCCAGCCAGGGCTGGGGGTTCCAAAGATTCTGAAATAAAACTTTATCATGTAGGCATTTCAAGGGGATCCTCCCAATAAGTCTTTTCTTTGGCTTTTTACTGAGATAAACATGTGTTTTAAGTTTTAAATTTAAAACAGATGTGAAGGACTTAATTCACATAATGGGACTGAAGCTGGTACTTTGGTGGTTATTCAGCAGAGCCTGTTGAGCTTTAGTCCCTTGAGGACTCACTTTGGAACTGTGATGTTTCTTGTTCAGTACATTTACCCTTCCTTCTGCTCTTTTTGTTTTGGCCATTGCAGGCTCTTTTGCTGACCAGTTTGTCTTACCTTTTGCCTAGGATAAAAAAGTCTTCTTTTTAGTTTACTGCCAGTCCTCACCTGAACATTGCAATCCATTAAGTCTTTTCTGGTAGAACTTTCTGGGAAACAGCAGTAAATGACAAATAATGGCAACAGTGTTAAGTGCCACCGAGTAGGTTCCAACTCAGCAATAGTGCATAGGGTTTCCAAGGAGTGACTGGTGAGTTTGAACTGCTGACCATGTGGTTCAAACCAGCCTTGCAATCGATTGCTTATTCTACAATGCCATACCAGGACTCTGAAATGGCAATAATAGAGTTATAAAAAGAAATTCCCCCAAATTCAAAGTTATACTGTTAGGGAAACCATCATTAAATGTGAGATATGTTTCAGAGGTATTTTCTTAATTAGCCACCTGACACTGTCCAGCCTTATCTGTTTTGGGAACAGAGTAAGCCACCAATCTTTAATCCAAGGTAGATTTGTTGGAACATTACCTTCAGACCTGGTGGAAACCTGACTACTCAAATGTCAATGTATCTGAGAAGTCTGGCCATGTTATATTTTGCTTTTAAATATACTTTTTGTATTTAACTTGTCTATTGAATGCCCTCCCTTTCTCCATCCCAATGTCATCTGACTGAGGGGTAGGGGCATTGGTTGACTTATTCACCACAGTAGTCTCCAGGCCTCAGAACACTACTCTGGAAAAATAGTTGCTTAATGAGTGAATGAGCTTATACCCCAGCCTTTCCCTACTGCTTTTACCCATTTACTTTAAGAGTCTTGTTCTTTTTACCTTTTTTGCTTCCTAGACTTTTCTTGGTGACTGCCTGGTATTTCTATGTCTTGAGTTCCAAACACAACGAGAATTTTGTACTTCTTAGACCTGAGAAGCAGCCTCAGAAAGGCATGATTTCAAAAGGAGATCATATTCTAAGCTTGACTTATGAATATAATTATTTACAAATTTTTTTCTTTCTGAATTTAGTGAAAAGAAGAGACTGGATCTAGAAAGAAAACTTTATGAATACAGTCAATCTGATACATGCAGGTAAGAAATGATAGTGGTAACAGTTTTTAAACCAATTTGCACATGTTAACCAATAAACTTTGTTGTTGTTAGGTTTTGATGAGTTGCTTCTGACTCAGAGTGACCCTATCTACAACAGAATGAGGCAATTACCCAGCCTGAGTCATCCTCACAGTCTGCTATGTTTGAGCTCATTGTTGTAGCCATCTCTTCCAGAGTCTTCCTTGGAAACTCACTCTACTTTACTAAGCATAATATCTTCTCCAAGGACTGATACAGTCCAGAGTATGTGAGCTGTTGCTTACTGGTGTAATTGTGAGGATTTCTGTCTTCTTTATGTATGTTGAGGTGTAATTCATACTGAATGCTGTAGTGTTTGATCATCATCAGGAAGTGCTTCAAGTCCTCTTCACTTTCAGCAAGTAAGGTTGTGTCATCTACATATCATAGGCTGCTAATGAGTCTATCTCCAAATCTGATGTCTTGTTTTTCTTTATATAGTCCAGCTCCTCAGATTATTTGCTCAGCGTATAGACTGAATAATATGATGAAGGAATACAACCCTGATGCATACCTTTCCTAATTTTAAACCATACCGTATCCCCTTGTCCTGTTTGAATGACTATCTCTTGGTCTATATGTAAGTTCCACCTGAGCACAATTAAGTATTCTGGAATGCCCCTCCTTTGCAGTGTTATCCATAATTTGTTATGATCCACAAAGCTAAATGTCTTTGCATAGTCAATAAAACACAGGTAAACATAGATCATTTCTCATCAACAGTGATATCCCTCATTACTAATCTTCTGAACCCAGCTTTAATTTCTAGAGTTCCCTGTCTACTGCTACAACTGTTTTTTTGTTTTGTTTTTAAGTTTTTATTGTGAATTGAGTGATAGTTTACATGGGAGAGCATCTTTACATTCATCCTATTGTATTTTGTTTGATTGCAATGATTACAATCCCTTCCATGCATCATCATTCAACAGCATTTGTTTCCAATCCCTCTGGTTTTTTTTTTTTTTTGGATGTACACCAAGCACTCAGGAATACATAACCATTCAAACAACCAAAGGGTATACTCTGCACACCAGCCCCCTGGCCACCAGCACATAGCCACTCTCCCTCCTTGAGTCTAGAGTCCCCAGTCGCTCCATCTCTCCACGTCATCATCTCTGCCTCCATCTCTTGCCTCACTGCTTCTCTGGATAGGGACCCGCACTCCGTTCTTTTCCCTTGATGGTCCCAGGGCCCTCTGCTCCTAGACTGCAAGATCAACCACTCCCCTCCATTTGTTATAAAATGTCTACCTTTACATTTGCAGCATTCACTATCAGTCCTGATAACAATTATTCACTGTTGAACCACAAGAGTCTTATCCCCATCTCCTTTCACCAGCCCTGTCTAGACAGGTTGGAAACCACTCAGTGGAGATTCTACCTTCCCCCGCACCCTCTGAAACTAAGCTCCTTCTTGAAAATTTATAAACCAGTCACTGTGTGCCTTTGTGTCCCCCTCCCTGCCTATTTTGGGTAGCCAATGTCTAAGTTGCCCATCCCTATGAACCCTGTGTACAGAGGAGGTGGAAATGATTCTTGCTATAAAGCTTCATTCCCTCTTTTAAGCTACTACATCCATAAGTATAGGTCAAGTTCATCAAATTGTAGCAGATTACACTTTTTTTCATCTTCTTTCTTCCTCTAGTCGAGTTCTGATCATCCAGCCATTGAAGCCAGGTCAAATGGGTAATATCTGCAAATATGGACATTTTTGTGTATTTCCCCTTACTTCACATCAGCTGAACTCTTCACTGTCTGCTCTAGTCCTCTGTGACTATGTCCCTGTCCATGGGCTCAGGAGTCCCTATGTCTCACTATACTGCTGGCCAATCAGGTTGCGATCCAGGTTGACAGGAGTCTATTGAATGTGATTAGACTTAGCTCACAACTTTATTGCTGTTTTTCTCCCACCTCCTCTTATTGGTAGACCAACGTGGGCACCAGCAAGATTACATGCCTGCTTGTGTATTCCCTTTGAGTTTCAGTCTTGGAAGGGGTTTGCCCTAAAGGATCTTGATTGCTTACTTTGATGGCTCCCCAGTGAACAACTTGCTTATTCTTGTAGTAGTCAGTCAGACTCCAGTTACTGTTTTTTTTATGTTTCCTGTTGGTCTTTCTTTCAAAAAATATCTTCTGTTCCTCTAGCTGCTCCGGGGTGGTCTGCTTGTCTTTTCAGGTGGCAATTTCCCACTTCAGAAGATTCTAGCTTGGGATCAGAATTCCACCTATGGTCTTATGCAGTGCAAAGACTTTGCAGGAGGCCTCTTTCATTGGGCAAGATCTAGCCCAATTTTAGGTATTCTAGTCAGTTATAAGCTGAAGATGGGCTTAAAAGCTTTCTGTAGTGATGTTTCTGGCTGTTCCTACAACTGGTTTTTAAATTATCTTCAGTGTAATTTTACTGGAATGTGATATTAATAATTGTTGTTGGTAGGTACCGTTGAGTTGATTCTGACTCATAGCAACCCTATGCACAACAGAACAAAATACACCATCTTCACAATTGTTATTTGAGCCCATTGTTGCTGCCGCTGTGTCATTCCATCTCATTGAGGGGTCTTCCTCTTTGTCATTGACCCTCCACTTTATCAAACATGATGTCATTCTCCAGGGACTGATCCCTCCTGACAACATGTCCAAAGTCCAGAGAGGAAGCCTCCCTATCCTTGCTTCTAAGGAACATTCTGGTTGTTCTTCTTCTAAGACAGATTTATTTATTCATCGAGTGGTCCATGGTACTTTTAGTATTCTTGGCCAACACCAAAATTCAAATGCATTGATTCTTCTATAATCTTCCTTATTCATTGTCCAACGTTTACATGCATATGAGGTGACTGAAATACCATAGCTCGGGTCAGGCACATCTTAGTTTTCAAACTAACATCTTTGCTCTTTAGCACTTTAAAGAGGTCTCTTGCACAGATCTGTAGTCTTTGATCTTCATCAGTGAGTATTTCAAGTCTAATTCCCTTCCAGGAAGCAAGATTGAGTCATCTACATAGTGCTGGTTGTTAATAAGTCTTAACTTTAGTAAAACTTTACTCACATGGGACATCAAAGATATTGTCCGATGATTTCCAAGTTCTGTTGGCTTTTTTCTGTTCTTTCAGCTTGAGAAATGCCAAGCCTTTTGGTCTTCCAGCTCCAGGTCTTTGTACATTTCAGTATAATACTGTGTCCTTGGGAATCTATTTAATAATTTTGTGTCCTAATTTCTTCCTTTTACTTTATTTACTCTATGGTCAAGAGCAAATTTCAGAGTCTATTCTGACATTCATTTTGGTTTTTTGTTTTTTTTCTGTCTTTTTAATGACCTTCTGGTTTCTTCATGTATGATGTTCTTGTCATCCTACAACTAGTTTGGTCTTCATTGTTCCATGTATCAAATCTATTCTTGAGATGGTTTCTAAATTCAGGTGGGGTACACTCATGATTTTACTTTGGTTGTCAAGGACTTGGTTAAAATTTCTTCAGCTTGTACATTAACCATTGATGCTTTGTTCTGAAATTGGTCTGTAGCTTTGTTCTGACTGATGATATTAAGCTTCATCCTCTTTCCACAGATGTAGTTGATTTGATTCCTGTGTATTTCATTTGGTGAATTCCACATGTATAGTCATCCTGTGTTGCTTGAAAAGGTATTACTATGAATAGGTCCTTGGTCTTGCTAAATCCTGTCATTGCATCTCCAGCTCATTTCTATCACCAAGGCTATTTTTTAACTACCTATTGTCCTTCTCTTTTTCCAACTTTATCATTCCAAGCATCATCAATTATTAATGTATCTTGAATGCGTGTTTGATCATCAACTTCCAGAGATTGCTAAAAATTCTCAGTTACTTTATCTTTGGCAGTTATAGTTGTTAAGTGCCATCAAATCAGCTCCAACTCATAGTGACCCTATGTAGAATGTCAAGGCTTTAAATCTTTATGAGAGCAGAAAGCCTCAGCTTTCTTCCATGGAGTGTCTGGTAGGCTCGAACCGTGGACCATGTGGTTCATTGTTGTTGTTGTTAGGTGCCATTGAGTTGGTACTGACTCATAGTGACCCTACGTACAACAGAATGAAACACTGCCTGGTTCTGGGCCAACCTCACCATTGTTGCCGCACTTGAGCCCATTGATGCTGCCACTTTGCCAATCCATCTCCCTGGGGGTCTTCCTCTTTTTTTCTGACCCTCCACCTTACCAAACATGATATCCTTCTCCAGTGCCTGGTCCCTCCTAA